ATGGGTGGGACTGTACACACTGCACATATTGCTCAGTCGTGGTTTACAAGTGCAAAGCTGCCGTAAAAAACATGCATTAGATGGCATTGCTTATGAAAAATACGATCGAGGATGGTGTTAGATGTGAGTGAGAACAATCAGTGTGTAGATTTCAAGGTATCGTTTGCAGTGATTGATAGGATTATCCTAATAAATGGTTTTGATACTATATCGTGTCCCAATGTGTGTGGCCGGATGGCCTAGTTTTCAACTACTAGATGGATGGCCGCAGGTTCGAAACTGTCGGAATTTTCGCCAGTTCCATACTGGTGACGAAATCAAATAAGGATGAAACAACTGTACCGTGATCTTCTGCTTCTTAGTATAGGTTGACTACGTTTGCAGGAAGAAGTCACCATTGATAACACGATGTTTCCGATATGGCATCATTATCACCATCGACAGCAACGTCAGTGCTGAAACACCACTAGCCACTCTGGGTGACCACTCTTCAGAACCACCAAACACCGTATGAGACGATCGTGTGCAGATTCACTGTAGCGTATTCCACTAGTGAACATACACCTGGAGAAAACTATCCTCACGAAGTAGAGTTAGGCATCTGCATCACCAAATTTTAAACTCAGTCTAAAATGAATATTCTTTGTTTGAAACATGCTCAAAAATCTTAAAGTCAACCTGAAATCAGTATGGTAACACAAATGATGAATACTTATCGAAAGGCATGTACAGAGTGAGCAGTTGACACTCGAATCGGCTTGTCAGTGGAAAGTAGTCGAACCATAGGAGGTTTGAGAGCGGACAAACAACTGCAGGCGAGGTGCGCAAATTCAAGCTTTGTGTTGCGTGTAAAACCCTTGACGCCGATTCAAATTCGATGTAATAGGATCAACGGACAAGTATGCGGAGGCGTGTTAAAAACATTCAGTCATCCTAAACGCAAAGGAATCATTGTAAGGAATGATACCAATCGCCTGCTTGTTACTTTTGCTCAGGCGCCATTCCGTAATCGAATTGATTATATCCGATTAGGGGATATAATCGTGCCGCTCTACTAAGTCCCGCGAGGCAAAAGTACAGAATTGCAAGTCCTTCACACAACCACTCCCAGGAAGTGTTTAGTACTTTATTTAGTACTTGCCAAGCTCGGCAAACACACCAATAATCAAGATCTGATCAAATCGCGGCAGGATATCATTAGCGAATGACTAAGAAAGCCGCTCCAGATTATTTATATCCAACACACAAGGCACGCGCTCAATGATTCGACGTGATTTACCGAGTACTGGAGTGCTCTGCACCTTAATTGTTGAAACATTTGCAAGCCAACGCCAAGGCAAGCCCATTCAACGCCAAAGCAAGCCCTGGGTGCAGAATTTATGTGGAATACCCTGGTGTCAAATACTAAAGCCTCTGAACCCTTGGCAAGTATGATTTTACAGTCGGGAAAGTTGTATATTCTCGGACTCAGTCTCATCAGTCTATTTTGAAACTCAGTTCGAAAACGCTGCTGTCTACTGAACAAATGTTTTTCTTCAGTCTGATGAACTCTTAATGCTGTTGAAAACGAAATGTAGTCTAATAATTAATATTCACTAATTAATTGTCTAATAGTAATAATAAAACAACATCATTGTACAATTGAGTCACAACAGCCTGGGTACAACATCACTAGGTACGTTCGAGTCCCTTTTGCCCATGTGAACGGAAGAATTGAGTAAATGAAGCCTGGCAAGTGTCTTCCAGCACTAACTGTGTTTGTCTTCGATAAGAGATTTATATGGTTATTCTTATGTTTTGCCCTGCAGGAAATCAGTACGCGTTTAAACATTACAACGAGGAAATGATAGCCAAACGGAATTGCTACATTTCTTTGAAAGCCATTACAAACCGGTTGTAAATTGACATTCAGTTGACACCAGGTCAATTAAGGGATGATCATTTATCGGAACCTTAGTACAGTTTGGTTTACAATAAAGAAATAAGTCTGATACAGTTTCGAACAACAATTCTACATAGTGAGTTTCAAGAATAAGGAAATTGGTAACCAACGAATATACACTTATTTGCAAACAAATTTGGTTTTTCGAGTGACTCACCTGGAACCCAGCTGAATCTCTCGTTTGCGATGTTCTCAGGCAAATTTGTTTGCAAATGAGTGTATATTCGCGAATTTCGTGCAATTTGGTTTCAAGTAGAACATAAGGTTGACAAAAACTCGGGGCCGCGCCTACCTGATGAAACTGATCGTGGACTGTCGACGGATTTTTAGCAACCTTGTGAGTAATACATTTCTAAGATATACATGTATCGCGATATCTCGAATATCGTAGCGACTGAAACATGAGACGGCCTGGTGCGGCACATTCACTTGCCTGAGATCCTTTTTAAAAACCTTATTCTCGGTTCACTTTGGAAAGAATAAAAAGGCTTGTCACAATGGTGAATCGAGGCGTGTTTTGATTAGCGCCTATGTTATCATGGATAATGTAAACTGTACCATCGAATAATAGTCTAGAATTGACCACTGGGAAGTGGCAGCTGCTGGAGGGTGTTTGAGGGTGGGGCATTCATCAAACTTACTTAGTACTGGTAGGTCTGGATAATCCTTGGTGCTTGTGAAAAAGAATTTATCACACCGCCGAGCCCATGTGTAGCGAGAATGGATGGCTCTGTGAGCGTAGTTACTTGGATGTGTGTTAATGTAGCACAGTATGGTCACATTGTGGTCACTCGCGTTTTGTCGTCGAAGTTTCACGAATGACTGACGATGTATTTGGTCACAGTCAAGAATAATGACGAATGGATATCTCCGGATTGCGGAAATGAAGAGGGCGCACATGACTCCAACAGCCAGACAAAAGATTTGTCTCGAACGTGGTAGAAAGCATCGCGGCTGTGCGTTACACATAGCTGAAAGGTGACGAGCGCAACGGAGGCGGCACAACATATTTTCCCAGAATAACAGTCTTTCTCGCCTACAAAAATTGATTTAATTATTCAGCTATTTTTTCAGCGAACCATCATATATTTGTATTTTTAGGCAGTTATTTCGTTTTGGTATATTTAGGGGACCAGTCTTGACACAAGGCCACGACACTAATGTCGATGACCAATGAACTGCTCTCTGCTACAACCTTGTTGCTATTGCAAGAAGGAAGACTGCGAAAACCAACCAATCAACAATGTCCACAATGCTTTGAGTAAGGACGGCATCGATCAGATCATGGGAAGAGTTGCAACCAAGATGAGATAAGAAGTCACGGATATCTTATTGATTGTTTCTGCGGCCAATCTACCAACCACATCACCCGGAAATATGGCTACAATAGTGGTTGCTATGTGGACGTCATTGGACGGACATAAGCTGAAATGGGCATCTATACGATCACTGACTTCATTCAACTTTTGAGCTGGTAGCAACATCGTGAAACCCAAACTCTACTCAAAGAACGTTAGAATGTGAGTACTCTGAGAGGCCACATGATTTCTAAAAATATCCCAATCTTTTTCTCTTTTTCCTACGTTCTCTCTGTTCATTACGGAAGAAAAATATGGAATTGGAATGATTCTCATGGTTATCGTCACAGCTTATAACATTCCAGCAAATCACAGTCTAGTCTTCCAAAGACGTTGAGTTTTTTGCAGCTAGCTGGCATCTGTGAGTATCATACGAACAAAATTCTAGTTTTATCGCAAAAACATCCGTATACAGTCTGTAGGAGTTGGTAGGACTAAGAGAGCAACTGTGAGGCACCAACTTACCGAGTCTTTCCCAAGTTATTCACTAAACTGCATAAAAGTAGAGCGAACATACAGTTTGGTTTTGCGTTGGATGTTTATTCACCGTAGAGTGCTGAAAGATGAACCCAAATGGAACTGAAAAGCTCATAGTGAGCTAAACACATGATGACGCCCAGACAGCTAGATTGACTAAAGATCAATCAGAACTCAGTCCTCTACGTCATAACTAAGCACAAAAAACAAGTGCAGATCCGGTTCTTTGGTAATAATGTATTTAACAACCTCATTTGCAAGTCAGCTTCGGTTGCACGGTAAGATAATGAATAGGGTGTCAAGTTAGCCAGATATGATGCCGTCATATGTGTTCACCGACTGCCAAATTTAGAGGCTTTCGGTTACCCATTGTGGTCTTTAGTGTAGCGACGCATATGGTCAGTCAGAAAATTTCTCGCATTATTTCGACTGATCTTTGCATATCGACTTCAAAAGGACTCCTTATTGCATAAACATGACTTTACTCGTTTACAGGTTTGTTTTCCTAATTGCCATTTCGGGATTCTCGAGTGTTTTAGAATGGTTCCGGACTCCTTCTCATCTTTGCTAAATTTATTAAAAATCACATAATACAAGCGGCTGGCATTCGTTTACAAAAAAAAACATATTATAGGTCGTGTGAATTTGAGAATCCCTTTCACTATGGATGCCGGATTATCAAATCAGGTTGTTTAAGGTGGCCAAAGGTCACAATAAAGTACAGGCATGTTCAGGCAATCACTACGATAGCCTTCACGTGTTATCCTGGCAGCTAGTCACTCAATGAAAGAAGTACAAGAGGTATTTGTGTCGCGCATTAACAAAAACCAGCTCGACCGAGTGAAGGGTAAACAAACAAATAAAATAAGAATAAATGAAACATATAAACGTAAAAATATAATAACACGTTATATAATATATACACACATTTGATTATATAATAATATACATAAAATATATAAATATACATATAATATAAAATATAAATGTATAAATATACAAATATCGATGTAAATAAATAAATAAAACAATATTCTACGAAGTTTCCTATTTTTGTTTTGATTTATTGCGGTTGGTATGCTCTGGATCCGTTAACCGAAAAGCCCTTGATATAAGCGTAATAGTGATCCTGGCATAATTCAACATGCTCCTATAATGACTCCCGTTTTGCTTTGCACTCAAGATGCTTTCACGTTTCGGACTAAATCTTCGGAGTAATCACTACATGGCTGTCACCATTCGTACTTGACGGCATGTAATGCAACTTGTTTACTGGGTCGGTGCATATACCCCTTTGTGACATACCCTGAAAAGTGCAAGTCTTGAAACTCAGGGGTACGACACAAACTCTTCTGGGAACGTTTGGAAGATTTTGAAGTGCCACTGCTACAGTTCAGCGTACAGACACTCGAATATCACATTCTTTTTACCAGATACATGGATTCCGTAGGTTCCATAGTGAAAATCTTGCAGCTGTGAGAGGAAGGACATGTCCCAGAAAATCGATCATTTCGCTGACACACACCTCAATGTGAGCATAAAAATAACTAATGAAGTCTCTTGTTCATATCTTGCAGTATAACCAAGCTTGATGGTATTTTATTCAGTTCACTACCAACTCCCACAATTTCTTGTAGCGTCATATTTGACTTTTATGGATACAGTGTGAAGGATGAGAACTTTTCTATGGCCATAAAAACGCTAACATTTTGGAGGAACCAATGAGATTAATCTGTATCGTGCGAGGGAGAAACAATTCCAAACATCTCGTCGACCTTCGATTCCATGAGAATTGGTTCCTTTCACACGAAAATGACTGTCTTCTCAAAAAGTAAGGGAAAATGAAGCATGAAGAAAATGAAAATGCTATGACAGTATATTTGTAGCTTGCGTGCGTGAATTGGTTGCAGGCCAGCTGGCTGTTGACGTGTGTTGCCAATCGTGAAAGTTTGCATGCAGATGTTTCGTCACCAATTCTGTGGACGTCATCAGTGCGCAGTTTGTTGGGTACTTCCTCTCCACCTGCTTACGTTTATTCAGTTCACTAATGAGTATTTGCGAAACCTCGAAGTATTTGGATGATCCTAGAATAGCTCATGGTAATTTCGTTGCCCGTTTACGATGGGTGCTGCGTTGTTTTTCGGATATCTTGCATTCGATTGCTACGTTGAACAGATCCTTTTTGATAGACCTCACTAATTGATTCGTTCGCAAGCTGTGCTGCATTGTAGTCATGTCTGTTTTGAATTGAGTGGTTATATTGACGTTTTTTCCTCGTTTTTTGAAGGGATTAGTGTGTTTTCAGTTCGACTGGAACGACGTACGCATACTAGGCAACAACAAGGAAGCTTGAAAGGTGGCCAATATATCGTTGATCTTAGCTACGGGTTTTTCCCTTACTACTATCAAAATCATCCCGCCGACAACTAAAATATTCTCACCTTAAATTCCTATACAGCACTTTTCAGCGTCGTAGGCAATGGCGTTAATTCTTCATAAGTCTGAATTCTGTCTGATATAAAATTCTCAGTGCACCCGTTTATTAGGGCTACGGATTGAACTGGTGTCCGCGCACAGTACCGTAATAAAAAAGCCTCCAATCCGCGTGCTCCTGCTTGGTAGTTGAAGACGAGTAAAAATTTCACCTAGAACCCCATCACTTGAAGTCAACACGTAACAACTTCGCATGTATTTCGTCACTGAGAAATGAATCTGTGGGCAAGTTATTCATACTGCATATCAACAGCTCGCAGCCGAGTGGTCTAGTTCGCCTCTCGGTCGTAACCACTATAATCATTCCGGATAACCGAATTTCGAACGGCTTTTTCGAACGGCGCCAGGTGACTAAATGGCGCTGAGAAGGGTGATTTTTTTCTCCTAAACTCATCTTCCCACACCGTCGAAGCTTTTCCTCATGCAATGGGTCTGGTGGCAGTTTTAAAGCAACATATGTGTTTGTTCACTTTTGTATGCCGAAAAGATTACTTTACTTTTTGCGCTTGCCTACTTAACAGTGACGCAGTGGTGAAAAATTCAACCTCGCGGGTCCTTTGGCTGACGTAAGGCATTATCATGTTCCCCTTAGAACCTCTGACACCCACACAGATATCCCAGTTATAGTTCTCGAGTTTCATATTGCTTGCAGCAGCTTAAAGGCTTACCTATACCTGGCTGATATCGTCCTACAATCAGTGATGATCGTTAGTATGCTTGCCATTTGTATGGGGAAGGTACCTAAACTGCGTAGTTCAGTAGAACCATTTCACCTAACTGAGTGATTCATCTAAGACGGGAAAATTGAGCATCTTTTGGCGCAAAAGGTTCTAGTGCGTTTGCCGGATGGCCTTATGGGCGGGCTGAATGAACAGTGAAAGGGCAGTCGTCTGTTCGGGCGGAAACTGTGCAAAATCGTTGTGTGAGACCCAGCTTTCAAGTGGTGAGGAACTTTTTACCGGACATTGGGCTTACATTGGCTGTTTGTTCCTCTAGGTGTTTTCCCGCTGACCTCATTCCCTAGAATCCAAATGGGTATCTGAGTTTTGTACGGGCGCAACAATATGCCCCGCGCAAATTGCTTGCCGTATACCAAATGTTCATGGGCATCCAGGGGTCCAACAAATGCTGAGCGGTGGGTGCATTTTGGACGCCGACGAACTACAAAGTTTGAGGTCTAACCTCGATAGATTTGGATGCATCTGTTTGAAAGTTGGTCTCAGATGGTGCACTACCTAAAACAAACAAAGATTGAAGGAAACAACTACGCGTATCAGTGATGCACACGATATAACTCGTAGCTTTATGGCGATCAAAAATATCCACAAATAGGCATGCGCTGTGGTCTGGTCAACAATCCTGATATGGATGCCATATATAAAAAAACCATGAGCATCTAAGCGTTGCACGTCATAAGCCATCACAAACATAGGATTCAGTTTGATTCAGTTGAGTTGCCTGTCAAAACGAAATTTGTGTGCAAACAAGAGCATTCGTTGAAAGCTGTCATTGGTTTTTGGAAAAAAAACGGACCCACCGCAAATTCAGTATGTACAAAAAAGGGACAGTCTTATGGACCACATTACGGTGGAAGGGTTCATTACTGTAAACAACGAAGGGCATCTTCTTCTTCACACAAGGTACTACTTCTACGACTCTCAAAAGCTCATCGACATCCCACTTTCCGTTTTAACATTTTTGGGGCTCATCAAGTGGGTGTTATCCCCGAGAAGGGCTAAACCGGCAATGAACTGTCGAATGGCATTCAGCATCCCCCAGAAATATTGTTGTGTTAGGGAAA